GCAGGGTGAGCACCTCCTGCTGGCCCCAATAACATCACTTCCAGCAGGAATCTTAGTTTTTCCCAAGAGGTCTCCCATTCAGGTACTGGCCAGGCTCACACCTGCTGAGCTTCAGTATGTCACCAGTTGTGAGTTGCACGGTGATATGGCTGCTGGCTGCTGTTAAATATAGAAAAGGAGTGTCCTGCATTCACAGGATTCTTGGTGTCTCCATGTGCTGTGTCCACACCTTTCACATTTTTTCTGTTGCCTCCTTCTTAGGTGACCCGTTGCCTCCTTACGCTGGGTGGTTGATGAACGTGCTGGAAACCAATCAGCCGCAGCCTCTGCCCATGCCTGTTAATGGTGGCTGCTGGGCTCCCCTTGTGGACTATCTTCCTGAAACCATCACCACGCGGGGCCCTCTTCACAGGTTAGCGCACAGACCTCTTTGCTTTCGCCCACTGCCTGCCAGGCACTCAAAATGTCCAATACCTGTGTCAGAGGAAAACGTTCCCAGCATGCAGATGTAGAGAAAAATGCTAGAAAGAGCAGATTTCCTCTTTTAAAGGAACTTCAAACATTTAGTTTGAATTCATTCAGCAATTTTATGTTAGCTGTCATTGTAAAGGAAACCTATTGTAAATTGCGGCTTCAGGATAAGCTGCTTAAGAAAGCATCCCTGAATGTCAGTTTGATACTGATACTGTTATTGTGTCACTATGTTTTTTTTTTCTTTTGCCTTGTGTCTAGAAAGAAGAGCAGTTCAAGTTTAGAATATTTCTTTCCATTGTTGAAAGTGACAATGTTTGGATTCTCGTGTACACCTTGTTTTTAACTTTGCTTGACCATGAGTAACAAAATGTGAAAACGTTATATCCTGCTGATATCTTTATCTAGTAACTCTTTCTTGAATGCTATTGAACATGGGAAACTACTACTGTACATCCTTATTTGATCAGGTGTTCACATACATTCCTCTCCTAAGCCATCTGAAGAGGGAAATTGTAGTTTAAAAAAGTGAGATTAAAGAAAATATTCATGGCGGACATCCTCTTTATTGAACATACAGTACACAAATTTTAACCATTGAAGAGTAATTCCTGTTTTTTTTTTTCTTTGAAGAGTTCTCTGAGTTGCTCTGTTAAAGGTATTCCTGCTGTAAGGCTTTTTCTCTTGTGAGGCCTGAATTCTGTGCTGCCATTGATCTCAGACTAACGTCTACTTAAAACACTCCCTGGCATGAGCAGAATGCCCTCTTGTGAGACAATAAAAACACTATGACTCCAGACCTTTCCCTTACTATTTCCCCTTTCTGCCTTCATTAAAAACCAATATTTGATTTTCAGTTAAAGTAAACTTCTCTGCAATATAGCCCTGTCATGAAGGAGTGGTTAGTATTTCCCTGTTGTGTCTCTTCATTAAGGGCTGTGCCTTTAAAATGACCCTTTAACCATTTAGAGAGCAGGATCCTCATTCCTCCTGAATTCTGTTGAAAAAAACCTTGTTGAAACCTTGCGTGAGACCTTATACGAGCCTTTGTGGGAAACCTTGTGGGAATGCTCTGAGTGAACGCTCTATTCACAGACCACATTTTGTTTATAATGCAGTGTTTATTCAAGACCTTAACTGCAACGGACCTATGCAAATCGTAGGTCCAGAAAGAGGGAACCATCTGTCTTGAAAAACTTAAATAGAGTAATTGTTTATTGTACCGTTTTGAGTTGTTTAAATCAAAAAGCAAAAAAAATAACCTTGAAACTAAAATGTCATCCTAAAACTTCTCAAATTCATCTAAAAGTTTTAAAGTCACAAAAAATAAGGGTCAATATTTTCAGCATTCATACCTAAAATTCATTGGATTCTTATTTTTATGCAGAAGCAGATCTGCAAATCATGATGGCTTTATTACATGTCCTCATACACTACTTATTGCAGGGATAGTCTGGTGTGTTTTGGTGCAGAAAAAATATCTTTGTTTTATGTAGTGCCTTTTGGAAAGAAAAAGTGTTCCAAATCCCTTTGCATCCATAAAAGGGATAAAATAATCATATGAAAATAAAAAATAGCTTACAGCAATTAAAATAGATTTTACAACAAAAACTAAAGTAGAAAAATGTTTTCTACTTTATTTACTTTATCTAGTATTTGGATTGTAAAAGTGCTGTCCTTTGTGACCCTTGTGACCTATGTACAAAGAAACACATGCAATATATCCATGGTATTCATGGCAGGCAGAATGTATTAATGAATTCCACAGGAATCAGGTTCATCGAGGCTGAAATTATGTGTTAATAGCATTTTTTTAAATTATGGCTATCTGATTCTGACCATGTTACAACTTACTGAGGACTTTTTTTACGTGAAGATAGCACTGCAGTAGTCTATTCAAGAAAACACAAAGCACTTGTTGCTCAGAAGAGACTGAGACAAGGGCAGAAGTGTATTGCTATTTACTGAAGGGCAGACACCTCAGTATCCTTGTAAATACTGTATGCTCTTTGAAAGACAGAGCCGAGAATCTACACAGCTAGACTGGATTTGTTTCTCGTTAACAAACAGATTTGTATTTTCCCGTGTATGGAGGTGACGATGTTCTTTGTGTTTCAGGTGTAACATAGCTGTGATCTTCATGACCGAGATGGTGGTTGACCACAGTGTCAGAGAGGACTGGGCTCTCCATCTGCCTCTGCTTCTTCATGCTTTGTTTTTGGGTACACTCCCCTTTCTTACTTGGTCCTGGGAAAAGAAAAAGTAGATACGTCCGACATTGAGGGCAGTTAATAGCAGCCACAATTTTAACAAGTCCAGCCTAGCTCTGCAGGCAACCCTACATTAAAAGCAGTCCAAAACAGTAACTCTTGGAAATATAAAGAGCCATAGGAGAGAAATGAAAAACAACTTCCATTGATGGACTTTTGGCTTACATTTTCCTTCACTCCAGAGAGTTGGAAAAACTCTTTATGAATTCTTTATTCATTTGGATGTTTTAAAGTTTTCTACAAGCAGCAATAGTTGAGTTGTTGATTACAATGCAGCTGCTCCTGTGTTTGCTAGACAGTGTGGCTGCAGTGCATCTGGCCAGCACTAAAGAACTTGAACTGTGGCGGCTTGCTTTTCTTGCTTTCTGAAAACGAAAATAAAAAAACAACATAAAATTTGTGAAAGAACATCTGAACTGACTATAAAATAAAACATTTGTTGAGTCACTGCAAATAATAGGTTAAACTTTCTTTCTATTAGGGAGACGTATAAATTGTACAGTAGATACTTGACTGACACTTAGAACCTATATTTGTACACACCCAGAGGAAATTCTTAAATTCCAACAGCATGTCAGGCAGAGAGATTTTCTAAATCTGAATGGTTAATTTGTTCATTGTATAATTAAATTAAAATCATTGATTGCCAGAAGGGAATGCTAAATTCCAGATGTCAGCTTAGCTAATGTGATTCCTACTGCATGTGAATCATAGCTCCTCAGTAGATGACTGTCAGATTCTCAAATCTCTTCTTGTATTGGAGGCTTCTTATTATTGCTGCCTAACATGTAAAACACTCCTGCAAAATATTTAAAACATCTGGAAAATGCAATGACTAATACCATCCACACATTACGGAAAACCACCTGTACAGCTGAGCTTATCTCTCTGAGACTGTTTTCTTCATCTTCCTTGAATGACATTTAATTGTCACCTTTGCGTTTGCAAAGGTCGCTTGAAATTGAACTTGAACTACAAAAATATCTTATCTCTGATCTGTGTGAACCAAAGGCTTTTTGTTTACTGTCACGCCAAGCAACAGGCTGATCTGGTATAAACAATAATATTCTTGATCTGGACATTTATTTTTTTTTCACTTCTTTTTGGACAGGACTGGATCACTATCGCCCAGAGGTGTTTGAGCACAGCAAGCGCCTTCTTCTTCACCTGCTGATTGCACTGTCTTGCAACAACAACTTCCAAGTCATTGCCTCTGTGCTGCTCCTTACCAGGGAGATGTGTGAGAGTAAAACCCTAACAGTGAAGGCTAACTACCAGCCAGAATACCTCTACACAGGTATGGAGCACCGGTGATCATATTCCCATCACTTTCACTTCTTCTTGCCTTCACAACAAAGACTTAAACTTCATTAATCCTAAGAGACATCTGTTTCAGAGGTTACAAAATGCTGAAGAAGTTACATATGTCCTTAATGATTTTCACAAAGAAAGAATAGATATGCTTTTCATTTGTGAATTCCTAGGCTTCCAAAACTGTAAAAAATAAAGATAATTCTTAATTCCAAAGAAGAATTAAAACATCATTTAAAAAGTCTTACCGAGAACTATAAAACATGGGTCTGTGTTGGACATACTGTTCCGACACATTCTGTCTTTTCTTGTACAGCTCTGTTACAACATCCCGGGCTGCTGAGACTTCTCAGGCAACGGGTGATTTGTTATCTCAAAGTAAACATTCGAGAGCTTTGCCAAAAACAATCATATGTACGGAACACATTAGAGGTCTTGATTAAAGCATTCCAGTCAGCTATTTTTATTATCTTGCTCAGAAGAAGCCATATGCAAAGGCGTAGGGTTTGCTGGCAGCAGTGTTGTTGGTATTTAATTTGTCGTACCACATTTCTGGCTAATTCTTATTTTCTAAGCCATTCTTGCTCTCTCTCACTATTTCAACAACATTTGCAGCCTTGATATAATACTATAATGAAAGGCACACATTTACATGGGCATTTTTACCCCTTTGCTGTTGAGTAGGTGTATGTATTGCATCCATGACCTCAATTTGCTATAGTCTGGGATGTCCCCACTGCTTGAGATTTGTCCTGACCCTAACTGTATAGTGGCCATACCATCAGCAGCCCCTGAACTGTAACCCCCATCGATCACATGGTGTCTTATCCTCTCTCCGGCCAGGTGGTTTTGACTTCCTGCGAGAATGCCAGGCCTCCCCGGTACCGGACTCTGGCCTAAGCTCCTCTTCAACCTCCTCCAGCATCAGCCTCGGGGGCAGCAGCAGCAATCTGCCCCAAATCTCCCAGGACATGGACGAGCTGGACACCTCCACTGAGGCCGATGAGAAGACCAATAAGCTCATTGAGTTCCTCACTACCCGGTACTAATCCACTTGAACTACTTTTTTTTTCTTACATTATAAGAAATGTTGTGGTTCACTCTGCACTTTAAAAAACAAGCCAGGATGCTGCAGGTCCGCTGTGGGTATCAGGCTAACGCAGTCTTCACACGTTTTACTTCAGGTATTATAGGGTTTCACATAACCTAATGTAAGTGAAAGCTCTTTGTGTGTTAGGAAAATCAGTGCTAAAGCAGAGGTATGTGGCTTGAATGCTAAGTCATGCAACACAAACCCCTTATTTAAATGTCACTTTAAGTATTTTATCTTTAAGTTCCTCATAGCAGTTACTTCAGTTTCTATATTGCCATCTAGTGTCATAAGTGGGAAATGAAGTTGATGACGTGATTAAGATGCTATAGGATTGATAAAATGCTGTTAGTAGTATTAATAAGTATTCCCTTTTCTGTTTTAGAATTACATGTATATGGTAGTAATTGCTGTATGTCTTTTTTCAAGATTGAAAGGGCAATTTAATGTTTAAACAAGCACAATATGACCGGTTTCTTTTTTAATAAATAACAGAGCATTTGGACCTCTGTGGTGCCATGAAGACATCACCCCAAAGAACCAGAACTCAAAGAGTGCCGAGCAGCTGGCAAACTTTCTCCGGCACGTGGTGTCAGTTTTCAAGGAGTCCAAGTCAGGTGAGAATAAAACTGTTTCCTGCCAGTGGTTGCCAATGGTTAGTTAAAAGGCTCCATATGTGCCATTAACCTTATCTTACTGCCAGTCATTTCTGACAAGATTACAATATTTCATAACAGCGATCTAACATAAACTCTATTTACAACCTACATGTACAGCTGCCCTATTTGAATTATACTAGTGTTACATTAGTGGTTTATAGATAGTAAATATGATACTGTCATCTGTGAATGCTGAGGTTAGTTCTCATCATTTGACAAAAGCTTCTAAACTCAATGTTGGCATTAGAACATAAAGTTTGCTTTTGTTGCAAAATACATTGTTCCATTAGAACAAACTCAGTTTGATCATGTTAATTTAGGACATTGCGGGCTGACTCCCTAAGCATTAATCTTGCAGTGTGTATTTAGCCTACCACTGGGATATTTCCGTTTGTGTCAGCTGAAAGTCAGCTCAAATCGAAGGTAGATTGTCATTTGTGCATTGTTGTTCCTGAATACCTGCTCATGAGTCAACAGAGGTCAAAGATTCAGAATATTTGTCAGGATGTTTCAGAAAAGCAGCAGGCAGAGGCAGGGAACACATTGTGAATTTGGAAGCAAGGCATGAATAAAGGCATGTATGAATCAATATATATGTGTAATACCTTGGAAATGACGATGAATTTGATATACTGGAGGTGGAATTCTTCTGGAAGGTATAAGGTATAAGGACCTTTCCATTTTCTCTATCACAGAGAAAAGACTTCCTTCTTTAAATTTATAGAAAGGCATTTGTTTGAACTGTAAATTAAAGCATTGTAACACAGAGCTAATTATTAATGTCTTACTCTTGTCATTGATAGAGCTTTGAAAAGGGTCGGGAACAAAATTTCTATTGGATTAAAAGCAATGTATTCACAAGCCTGCTTCTTTACAATGTCACCTTTACAAGGGTGCACCACGTCACCAGAAGTTTGGTTGCCTCATTCTGAATCACAGAACATGGCTCTGCACATACCTGGAAATTTCCTCAATTTTGTGATGTAAATTGGAGGTTTTAAAAGTTACTGTGTACATTTTACTGTTATTGCAGGTTAAAATATACTCATTGTTGTCGATTCTTTCTAACCCCGAAATATAAAAATGGCGCTGCCGTTAACTGAGATGTCTGTCATGGGCACCTTCACTGAGATTGGTGCGCAGCTTGCTTCCAGCCTTTGAACAAAGCCCGTTGTCTGTGCAGATTGTCATCTCGAGCAGCAGCTGAGCGATGTGGCCCTGCAGACGGCGCTGTCCAGCTCCTCGCGGCACTACGCGGGCCGCTCCTTCCAGATCTTCCGGGCCCTCAAGCAGCCCCTGTCCTCTCACGCCGTGTCCGATCTGCTCTCCCGGCTGGTGGAGGTGGTAGGGGAACACGGAGACGAAGTGCAGGTACTTCCTTCCGGCCTGTTGTCTGCCTCCTCCCATCCATCCATTCAGGCCGTTCCCTGTTCATTGAGAGTCATGAAGCTGTATTTGAAATGGTTCTCACAGTTAGTGTAAATGGACAACAGTTGACACCCTAACCCTAACTTTTTTTATTTGGATTTTTTCACTCCACATTTTCGTAACAAAACGAAACGAAACGAAACGAAACGCTTCTTTTGCGCCACCTCTCCCATGTCCAATCATAGAAGAGCAGAGGGGAGGGGCTTGGAATGGTACCAGAGAGTGGCTTCGTACAATTGGCTGGTCAGTGGCAGCAGGCTCCTCCCCTCTGGGATTGATAGTGTAAACGGACAACATGTCATGTATTACATGTAGGATAGAACTTTATTTTCGTGTCTGTGACAGCCATGACTGCTGAAACTTTCAAAATTTTATTATTCTAGCATGAATATAAATAACAATGTATGCCTTCAGTTTGTGGTAGATTTTGACATTTATTAATGTTATATAGAAATAAAGATGTTATAGGACTTTGTGAATATGCATTCAGCTTTCTTATTTTGTTGTCAAAATGGGTCGACCCTTTTAACAACACATTAGATGTGACTTCTTATACTGTATATCAAAGATGCAGGCTGGATCTGATCACATTTGTGTGGTTTGCCAATGCTAAAGGAATGGGTTGCTTATTGTGATGGATGATGTTGATTGCATAGTCCTAAATTCCTGACTGTTATTATATAAACATCATGCTTTCAACTTATTTTTTTCTCAGTTCATGAGATCAGCTGGGTGTGTCTTCTGATTTTCCTACATGGAAAATGTTTTCAAACTTGCATTCCTAGAAAACAGAAATTGAGATTTCTGTATGGGCTAAAGCAAAATTCTAATTCTAATTCTAATTTTTTAAAGTATTTTTTGGTCATAATTTGTATGTTTTCCCTTGCAATTTGTCGGCTGTTTGACTCCAGAGAAGCAAAGCTCTGAGCCTTTTTCATAGTGCCTGTGCTCAGCAGTTGTCTGATGACTCTGTTACATTTCATTAATCCAGGGTTATGTAATGGAAGTTCTGCTTACCCTGGAGTCTGTCGTGGATAATTTGGCTGAATGTCTGAAGAATAATGAATTAATGGCAGTCCTGACGAGGTACGTCTGATTTTAGAACTAAAAGGTCAGAAGTGTCTTGTGAAAGGTGATTTCTTACATTTTCTAAAGTTTCTTTCTAGCCATTTTCCTGCAAAGCACACTGTCACTAAAGTAGTGCATAACATATTTACTTCTTACTTCTTCTTATTTACTTTTTTAACATGAAAAGGTGTATTAAAATGCAGCTCGCCTGTAAAATAAGTGTGCCAATTAAAAAAAAAGATCAAATCCAATTTTAACATATCATCTCAATGATCCTCCTTTATTATTTAAATAATACAGAACATCTATACTTTAGAAAGTCTTGGAAAGGCAGCAAAAATGGTATTTAAAAAAACTGTAAATTGGTTCAGAACCTTTCAATGAAAAAGTGGCAAAAGACAAGGGTGATCTTGTAAAGGTGGATGGCTGTGTTAGACTGGTGTCACAGTGCATAGCTAGCTTGATGTGTTTTATTGTTGGTGATGGTGTTAAAAGCAGGTCATCTTCACCTGATTTCCTAACCAATGGCAAGCTGACTTCAAACCGCAAGAGCACTGGGCAGCTGAACCTAATCCCTGGGCAGAGTGGGGCTGGCATGGGCACGGCAGAACGCAGCCGGCACCAGAGGAGCTACTCAGTGCCCAAGAAGTTTGGCGAGGTGGACCGGTTGTCAGACCCCCCCCGGAGCGCCACACTGGACAGGATCCAGGCCTGCACACAGCAGGGTGTCCTGAGCAAGACCCGCAGCTCCTCCTCCTTCTCCAAGGACAACATGGCGGACCCCACCAACGTCAACCACCCTGCCAACCTGCTGGCCACCATCTTCTGGGTGGCCGTCTCGCTCATGGAGTCGGATTTCGAGTTTGAGTACCAGATGGCGCTCAGGCTGCTGAACAAGCTGCTGGTGCACCTCCCCCTGGACAAGGCGGAGAACCGGGAGAAGCTGGAGAAACTGCTGGCGCAGTTGAAGTGGGCCAACTTCTCAGGACTGCAGCAGCTGCTGCTCAAAGGCTTCACGTCCCTCTCCACCACGGACCTCACCCTGCAGCTCCTCAGCCAGCTCACCCCCATCTCCAGGGTCCCAGTGGTGGACACCTCTCAAGCCATAGGTAACCACAGGCCGCCCCGTTCTGACACTGCACCGGCATGTAGAGCGGTACCCAGGCTGGACTTACCCTATTTAAGGGGGTCCAGTCTGGGAGAGCAGGCAGGGAGTGCAAGGCCAAAAAATAAATACTCGACTTGTGGAAAAAAGGACAGACTGCCCCGGTAGAAATGCATGGTGGGACAGGTTAAATACATACTATGCACACTTATTTATTAGCATGTCCCTTTAGAGAGATTGTAATACCAATTTGTCTTCGTCTATTGCTTTCTTACAGGTTTCCCCTTGAATGTATTGTGTCTCCTTCCTCATTTGGTTCAGAACTTTGACAGCCCGACTCAGTTCTGTAAGGACATTGCTGAAAGAATAGCCCAGGTCTGTACTCCAAGCTGAAAGGTCTTCTTCTTCATTATAATTATATTACAATTCTTGTGACTGGTTAATACTGGTTTTATTACAGGTTTTTATAGACAGAAACATTCCTGTTTATGTAATGATAAATTGCCGATAAATGATTAATGATTTATGATAAATCAAGCCTTGTTAAATATCATGTAAAGCAGTGTTTTCATCCACCTTGTCTTGGCTGGGGTAAGTCGCCCTGAGATTTCTTTCAGAACCTTACAGCAGTCCTGTATCTCCATGCTACTTACGAAGGAGGTTGTTTTTACAGCACATCCACCTCATGCAGCCTGATGCAATACTACACTATCACAAAGAGCACTGCAATCCACACAGCTCCAGCAACATGTATTGAAAGGCTGTAAAACTAAGGGCTGTAAAATGATTAAATATTCATTGATAAAATAACTCCAAACTGTTAATAGCAAACTGGTGCATTTTTTTTGGCATGCCAAATCCTAGGTCTGCTTAGAAGAGAAGAATACCAAGCTAACCAACCTGGCTCATGTCATGACCCTGTACAAGACCCACACTTACACCAGGGACTGTTCCATCTGGGTCAGTGTAGTGTGCCGGTACCTACATGAAGCTTTTTCTGACATCACCTTGAATATGGTCACCTACATGGCAGAGGTTTGTACTTCTTTGATTTCCATTTTTTATGACTTGTTGTCATCAGTGACATTTAAATTTTCATTTTTATAGACATGGAGAGGGAAAAATTGATTAGGTGTATGAATTTCTTCTTGTTGTTGTACGGATAGGTGGAATTAATCAAAATACTGTTTTAAAGCTCAAATCTTGGCTGTAAATTATGAGCATTCAAACGTCCAGTGGCATTTGCTGCTCTAGTTCTGTCAAGGTTCACTGTTGTCGGTAGAACAGCCTGTAGGTTTCCTGTAAATGTTTGACTTTGCTGATTGCAGTTGCTGGAGAAGGGCCTTCCCAGCATGCAGCAGTGCCTTCTGCAGATCATCTACAGTCTCCTCAATCACATGGACTACAAGGGGATTCCTGTCAAGCAGTTCAACATGGAGGTGCTGAAGACTATAGAGAAGTTTGTTCAGGTAAACATTTAAAATAGGGGCTATTACAAAACACCACCTGCACGTCAGCTTCACTTAAAGTCAGTTGGTTTAAAACTAATTTTAGTTTAGAAACCCATGTGTGACTATTAAATAGCATTTGTAGAAAACTATTTGATTTAATATATCAACTGTATATATTAATCGTGATTATCATTCTGTATTATTACCTATATTATCAATATGGTACATAAGCAGTTTTGGAGTCCTTATTTTGAAAAAAGAATTAGTCTTTCAGTGTGTTGACATGTTTTTGCAATGATCTAAACAGCCAGAATGACAGGATTTTAAATAGAATGCCAGTTATATTTATCTGTAGAAACTGCAAAAACTTACTTCAGTAAATGAAATGTTTTCACTTAAGCACTGTGCATTAACAAAGAACAGCATGTGAGAAGAGTTAAACTTTTTAAACTAATTGACTGTTGAATTATAAATGGATTACGAGGCAGAGTTCCCCAAATACTATTAGGAGATGGTTTGTTTGAAATTCATGAAGGTGAAACTCTCAGATAAAATGAGGGAGTTAATGTCCAGCTGAGTAGAGATTTATGAAAGACCCAGCTATGCCATAATCTTCTCTTGAAGACAGCAGTCAAAGGAAGTTGTGATACAGGAAGGACACAGCCTTGCTGATTATTTACACACTGTTGCATGTTTTGAAGACAAACTAGCTAATAGGTCACAGTACTTAAGTTGTAGTAACTAAAGATAGAAGTTAAGTATTAAGTGATTTAAATTACAACATAGGCATATATTCTCTCATAAACATAGATTATACGTAATGGGGAAAACTCTCCCGTTGTTAATTTAAAATACTGTATAGATTACAAGTGTTATCAGGTAATACAGTATGCAGTGCAGCTCAACTGCTTCCTATTTTGTGACTTGCACTCTTCTGTGCTCACTCATAATCAGCTCCTTTCTTAAAATGAAAGTTAAAGAAAAATCTGTTAAAGAATTGAAGAAATATTTTTACAGGTCCTAGAAATGATTGTATCAGAAGGGCATTTAACACTGATTAATTTGTTTATGGACAAATGGACAATTGAACACAGTTTGACTTGAATGAATTAACAGTTGTGGAAGTGGTGGCCAAAAACAGTTGAGGACATTTCAGTAGCATAGTCTTCAGTGATCCTCAGCTGCTGTTTTTTTTTTGTCTGGACCTGCAACGGCCTTCAAATCTGGCAAATGAGTCAGAAAGTAACAGAAGCCCCGTTTCAGCAAAGACAATTAGCATTTTCAGGAGTGTACATGACCTTGTACACGAGCAATAAATTCAACAGCACCACCCAGCACAACTATAAACACACTGCCCGACTAGTTGGCAGGCTCCCACACTGCACTCTTCTTGTCTTTTATCCTGAGTGCTTTGCCTCAGAATGAATGTTTGCAATGCTATGATGAAATGGAAGAGACCTAATTTTATATTTGTTAAAAATGAAACATATATACTGGATATAAAAGCGTGATATATACAGCCAATGGTAATATTTCATATATGCTATTAAATTTGGTGGTTTGAGGTTATATACAGTATGTAACAGTAATTTTGCAATTAAGTAAAAGAATGTTCAGGAAGCTTGAAGAATTATATTATTTGTAGTATTTTCTGTCCAAATGGCATTTGAAGCAAAAATATAAACATAAACTCAAACTGCAGCTTTCCAAACACTCATTCTAATTGCTGTAGGCTTATCAGTGAAGCATTCAAGCTAAAATGAAGGAAATGATGTTGTTCCATTCTGGAAAACAGCTCCTTTACTGCCTGGCTTGTGTTGGTCTTTCAGAGTGTCCACTGGAAGGAAGCCCTCAACATTCTGAAGCTGGTGGTGTCTCGCTGCGCCAGGCTCTCCAACAAGGACATGAGCCGGGAGTGGGATAGCTCTTCCAAAGCCTTGCCAGGGAAGACTCTGGACTTTCACTTTGATATTTCTGAGGTACCCTGGCACCTGTTTCCCGAGCCATCAAGCTCGTGTAAAAACTCTTCCTCTGTTACTCCAGAGAGCCTATTCGGAGCAGAGCATGAGCTCCTCAGTGTACACAGAAAATAATGTTTAGAATGAAAAAATTAAACTTGGCAAGCATACCACTAAGCAATGTATCTGTATTTTGCTTTTAACTTTTCTTAGTGGGCATGACACCGCTTGTTTTGCCTTGCCTAGTTCTTTAATCAGTTATACAAAAGGAAGTGCTTCTTTCCTGCAGCTTCATGTTCAGGATTCAGACAAAACTGACAGATCACAATTTCTGCCTAAACTTAAGGGGAATGGAGGGAATATAAAACAGTCGAACATCGAAAGAGATCTTGAAGATACAAGCTTAGTAATGTGTGGGAACCAAACTGAGGCTATTTGTGTGGCTTATGAATTCCAGGAAATGATGTCAACCCTCTGCAGCCCTTTGTATCTGACTAAGTAAAAGTCAGTCGAATGTTCAGCTGTGTTGGAAGAAAAAGCTGCAGACCAGTACAGCTACTGTACGCAGGAAGCCAGAATGGATTTTGTGTTCTGTTGTGCAAATGTGTTGATCCTTTTTTAAGATTTTTTTTTTTTAAGTACATGACTTGTAGGGGGAGTGGAAATCAACTTAATTTAACGGCAGGTGGCACCAACCAAAAATGTGCAGGCACTTCTGAGCCCTTCTGCCAGGCTCCTTTTTCTCGTTCATTCCACCACCTTCACTGACAATTGCTGCTACAGGACAGTGATGGAGTGCTGCCTTCCTCTGGGGATTAAAAAAAAAATTGATGAGCTGCTCAGTAATTAGCCCTGTTTAGCACTGCTGCAGATTGAGACGAATAATTGTTCTGCGTTCTGCTTTTGGAGTGACTTCTGCGCAGGGCCACTGAGTCTGAGCACCTGTTGTCTGTCCCCCCTGGCAGACTCCCGTAATTGGCCGGAGGTACGATGATCTGCAAGGGTCATCGGGCCGGGATGGAAAAAACCGGGTCATAGCTGTGACCCGCAGCACCTCCTCTACTTCCTCAGGGTCCAATTCCAATGTGCTGGTGCCCGTCAGCTGGAAGAGGCCGCAGTCTTCACAGGTAAGGGAGAACCAAGGAGGGAGGGGATGAGGAGATCAGTGTTCTGAGGCGTGAAGGCCGACAGATGCCATTGCAACCACTTGAAATTAAATACCAAATTCTCTCTCCCCCTCACTGTACAGCCGGAGCATATTCAACTAGTGTTTGCTCATTTGACTCATGTGATATGCCTCTACTAGAGTCACTGCCAGATAACCTATTTAAACTCTGTGAAATGTCTTATAATAATCTGTGTCTGTAATTCGAAAACACAGAGGTGGGAAAGTTCAGGTCTGCTGATATTAAAACCTTTTAACATGCCATGGAAGTCAGTGCACACAGGAAATGCCTTATTATGTGGGATATAAATTGTGTTTGTGTGTTGACATGTGAGGTATTTCCTGTTAATCCAATATGAACCTTTACCCTGAAGGAGGAATAAACTGAGATTATGTACTGTATGCAGAAGCTCTGAGGCTTTATTGTGGAAATTGAGTTGTGTATGAGTGGTTTTCAAACCCTTGGAGTTCTTGCATTTTAATTTGTAAGTTTCTTTGGTTTCTAGAAGAGAACCCGGGAAAAGATTGTTACTGTGCTTTCCCTGTGCGGACAGGAAGTCGGACTCACCAAAAACCCTTCGGTGAGGACATGATACCTTGAGGGTTTTCTTTTTAAACTTGAAAACTGCACTCATTTTACTAAAACTATTATATATTGTTTCTTTTTAGCTGAACTTTAATTTGTACAGTAATTGGCAAAATGATTTTCATCAAAGGCCGAGGGCAACAGATAAAAATAAAATTTGCTAATATCTGTTACCGGCATTTGAAATATAGTTCTGTTAATGTTAAAAAGTTAATAGTTACTGTATATACTTATGTTAAAAAGAAGCAGTTAATTCCCAGAAAAATCCATGTATAGTGTAATGAGATATATCACTTCAGTTTAACTTAGTTTTGCCATTAACAGTATTTCCAAAACTAATCTGTATTTTTACAGGTTATATTTTTTCTAAAATGTGTTCAATTGATTTCAAACTCAATTGGAAGGTGAAAGTCCCAATGCATTTAACATGTGAATATAAACTGAATGAAGTGACCATACATTAGAGAACTTGGTGGAGCGGTGGCTCTGTGGCTAAGGACCTGTGCCTGTGACTGGAAGGTTGCCGGTTCAAATCCCGCAGCGGGCAAGGAAATCCTACTCTGTTGGACCCCTGAGCAAGGCCCTTAACCCCAACTGCTCCAGGGGTGCTGTATAATGGCTGACCCTGTGCTCTGACCCCAAGCTTCTCTCCCTGTCTGTGTCTCATGGATAGCAAGCTGGGGTATGTGAAAAGATGAATTCCTAATGCAAGAAATTGTATAGGGCTAATAAAGCAACATTATCACATTATCATTCTAATAAGAGGGAACACCTTATTTGATTCTGGCTGTTGTCATATTACCACACTCTATTTCTCTGTCCTTGCAACTAAACAGTCACACAAAAGGTTGTTGTTAGCTCCAGAGCTGGTTTATTTTCTGTGTGTGAAGTATGCAGACTCTCGTGCAGACCTTCAATGAATGAGCTCCTTGGTTTCAGGTCATTTTTTCTTCCTGTGGGGACCTGGACCTGATTGAGCACCAGCCCAGCCTGGTGCCCTCTGAGGACGGTACCCGGGACCAGGACAACATGGACGACACCACCAGCGAGCAGCAGTTCAGGGTCTTCAGAGACTTCGACTTCCTGGATGTGGAGCTCGAGGATGGCGAGGTAGGCCCGTCGTTCTGAGAGCTCTGTGACCGATGTTCTCTTCCGGCTTTTCTATTTGAAAACTTTGGACTGTTTGGAATTTATTGAATGAATGAGCTGAATAATTCAGCTTGATTTTGACAAAACGAGGAAGATACAATAACATTTCTAACCTTTTAATACAGAACATTTGTATTAAAGTAATATTTTTACTAGAAACTATTTAGAAATGAAAATCTGACAAGACTCCAAAATATAATTTTCCTTTGCTTTTGAGCTATAGCATCTTTAAAATACTGAAAGTATTTAGCCCTTGTGCAATAGGTGACTTCTGGAACAACATTTGGATACAGTTATTGCACACTTCAGGACATAGTGTAAGTTGCATTGAGTTTAAATGCAATAGCCTTCGTCAGTGGTTTTGATTTTGAAGAATATAAGAACAGCATGCAGTGCAACAAGAACGTACCTTAGAAAACAGGAGAAAGAGCAGACTATGTTTATGTTCATGTTTTGTGTTGGCACACTATGTTTTTGTCATATTTCACTTTACAACTGACAGTGCAAATGGAGTTAATGATTTTTTTAAATTCTGCTCTAACTGCCATTCTGTAATTCTCTGTAATGTGGTTTCTTTTTCTGTTTTTTGTTTGTGCCATCCAGGAGCTTCAGGTAAGTTGAGTATTGTGCAGTGCTGGAGTTGTGTGCTGGAGCAGGGAGAGTGTGTGTCAGACATACAGTAGTCTTGTATCACATTTGTAGGTTACTCTGTTTATGTACATCATATGTATAGGACAGTGCAGCTCTCGCATTCAGTGCATGCTCATCCAGTGTCTGATTATGATTGCTTTGGACATTGCCAATATGTTTTTCTTTTTGCTTAACAAAAGTAAGAATAATTTAATAATGACTGAGCATTACAATGATGATTAAGAACTAATAGTCACAGGAAAAATGCATGCCAGCACTAGGCCCTTTTTAACATCTATGCAGTCTGCCTTCCAGCTTGTATATTTTAATTTCAGGTGTATGTGTGCTTGTTTGTGATTTTTAGTGGATTGTTTTATTTACTATATATATCTGAAGGAATTTACTTTTTACTTTTCAGAGTTTTTTTCTCAATCAGATGTAGGATAGCTCACACAAATAAGTCATCATTAATATATAGACAGTATCATCTCAGAAAATACAAAAAAGAATTGTTAACAGCTTGATGGAAACATTTATACAAAATCTTTGAAGTAAAAAACAATTTACTTGTGGAGACTTTTAACATGACATAATAATATGCAATAATAGAGCTATCTCAATGAATGCTTTTGCTAACATCATGCAGTTAGTTTAACAAATCTGGTTGTAGTGACTTAATGCACTTAAAATCAAACATGCACAGGCTGCAATAACCATATGGTCGAGTAATCCCAGTCTGAGCAGTAGAAATGTTCTTTGTCATTTAGATGCGTTGTAGGCTAAGCTGATTGAATCAGTCATCTAGTGAAATCACGACAAAGCAGCATAAACATACATTTTCACTCAGATTTCAGGTTTGGCATCAATTACCTATAGTGATAGCCAACATGTACCGAACCACTGAAACCTAAATTGTGCTGCATTCATTTTTTTATGCTATTTTAATGACACACTTAAAAAATAAATTACTAATCCAAAATCAAGTCAGCATGCATTTCCAGTACAAAGTTCTGTATTAACCAGCAGAACATTCTTTTTTATTGAATCTGAGCTTTTTAAAGTTTACTAAAGCTCCTACTTCATGCTGCTTGAATAAATTTAACAGTGTGCTTGAATTTCTTGACAAAAGTCTGGACTTTCGTAATTATCAGGTATTAAATCCAGTTAATGTACAGCACCTGCGTTTTTCTTCAAAAAAGAAGTTTTTCTCTTAAAATAACTATCAAAAGGAAGATGCGCCTTGCAGCTTGAGCTGGAACTTTGCTGAATTTGGACAGCTACTGACAGCCACGGTTTATGTCCTTACCAAAAGTGACATGGGACCGAATCGAATCAGGGAGTACTGCAGATAGACTACTGGGGTTAGAAAAAATGCAAATATTTAATCAGAATGGCAAAGGCTTAATGGACCTACTGCCATTTTTTGTTATGCTGCTTGATCGGCTTACCTTGAAACATTCTTGGTAGACTGTGTGCCCGAGCGCCTTTTTTCATTCAGACTGCGGAAAGTCAGGAAACCCGTGTCGTGGGGTCGGTGCTGAAAGGTGCGCTGTTTTGCAGGGCGAGAGTGTGGACAACTTCAACTGGGGAGTGCGGCGCCGCTCGTTGGACAGCCTGGACAAGGGGGACCTGCAGCTCCTGGAGGAGAGCCAGTATTCCGGCAGTACGCCCAGCCTGGGCAAGATCAACCACGAGGACTCGGACGAGTCCTCCGAAGAAGAGTCCCTCACCGCCAGTCAGATACTCACGCGTTCGCAGCTGGTAAGTCGCTGTTTTCCTTTTTTACCCTTGTATTTTAGAAAAATTGCAAAAAAGGGGAGAGTCACGTGTAGTGTTTCTCACAGCATTCGTGAACGTAATGCTATAAAGCATAGGAGAAGAGATATCATAAGTATGGCTTCTTTTTTTTAACTGGATTGTCATAATCTTTGGTGTGTTGTGGTGAAACATGTTTGCATTAATGTGTCTGTCTTGACACCCAAAGTTAAAAATAAAGACCACACATTCCTGTGGCCCCACCTGTTCCTTGATGTCCAATCAGCACACACTTAGTCCCTTCCTCCATTACTCACTGGCTGATTCCAGAAGCTGGCTGTTTGCTTTCATTGTGCTAACAGTGCCATTCTCCAACTGATTTAAATACTGCAGTGTGCCTAGTATGAGCTCCCTGTGTGGGCAATTAGTCTAAAATGCATTGTGGCAAGGAAAATACTTCTCTTGCACTTTCCCTGTCTCTGCATATACTGAATGGTATAATAAGCTTTAGGTTTTAGGAGTAGAAATGTCTCAGTCGTTTTGACAGTGCGTTCTGGTTAATTGCTGGATAGTAGAATTGACTGGGTTAAAGGGTGGCAGAACCTTAATTTTCAGGTCAGGTTCCTGCCATCTTAGCAGGTGTTTTGTGTGTGTGTTTTTTCCATCATGTTACAGTACTGTTGTTCTTTTGCCAGGGCTCTGTAATCTCAAGAGTCCAAGTACAATATTGCTTTTATCATTAAAACGTCTGATTAAAATCAAATTATCAGCAAAACATTGGATTAAAATGTTGCCACACTGAACTACAAATGATGACCTATGGCTTGGCTTGCTTGATTTGTGTCATTGCAGACCATGAACCTCTCTCCCTCTGAGGAGACGAACCACACAGACTCCCTGTCCACCTCCTTTGACACCACCTCTGCTGATCCACACTCCCTGAACACCAGAACTCCTAGTTTCGAAGTCTCTCTCCCTGAAGACTCTAATCAGCGGGTGACTAAGGGGTTGATTGGGAAAGATCTGTGGGGGAATGCTAATTTCTGTCGCACTCCCATCTTTGCCATATTTCCTGATGCTGCTGAACAGGACATGTTGTAATGCCGGCGTCTGTGTGGGGCAGGGTTTGGCACAGGGGGAGTTGAAGGTTTGGTGGGGGGTTGTGTGGTTGATGGGGGTGGAGGTGGGTAAATTTCTGTGCGGTCTCCTTAGAAATGACATGCCAGGTCAAATAGGGTCTTACCTTTCAAGTGTCTGTAATATCTGCATGTAAAACAAAAGCTTAAGCACTTTAAATAAGCATTTGCACGTCACGCTTTGCTCTGTAAATCCTTTTCTTTAGGCTAAGCGCTGCTTTCCTTTGCATTCTCTGGGCCGACTGGGGTCTGGGTACGGTAGCTGCAGGGAGGGATTCTTGCTTACTCTTTGAATAAGGCAATGTGCACAACTATTCTGTGGGCAGCTGCATGAAAGGGAAAAGAATCTGCTGGTTTCTTGGAAAACAAATACAGGAGTTGTACACATTGCCTTGTCGTACATTTTTGTACCACAATATGAAGTTCTGGTCTTGAATCTTTGCTGAATTGGTATCATTTCACCACTCCTGGGGGCATAAAAAGCCACATGGATTGACTCTGTCCTTTGGAAAAGGTCAGTGAAACCATTAATCCTTTCAATTAGTACTAAAAACCTTAAGCCAGAAATGCAATGTAAATGTTTATTTGTAATGCTTAATGAGCAGTATAAAAAAGCACTGTTTCAATTATATAACTCTTATTTATTAGTGTTTTTTAGTGCATCAGACCACTTTACTGCTTTGTAAAGTGCTTTCCTGTAACACCTACTGTAACTGGCAGAGGTGACTACCACCTTCAGTTATTAGAGATGCTAGTGGATCAGTTAAAAAGCCATAGTGCTGTGGATTGTAAGCAGTGCCTCTTCCAAGACTGAGCCAGCATCCCTCACCATCAGGTTGAAGTCTCAGCCGAGGACGAAGATACCAATGTCCACGAGGATGACCTCTCTCTGTCCGTCAGCGAAGTGCCACCTGGCTTTGAAGGCAGCGACAGTTTCCCATTAGAAATGGCTCAGGGAGAAGACAAAGGGGATGTGGATCTTGAGCACACAGGCCTCCCAAGGTACACAGCTTCATAGCTACTTGCACTTGAGCGTGTTTCGTCTGTAAACTGCACTACATCTCAATGCGTTTTTGACATTGCCAGAAATGATTCAGACATGAGCATTAGAGTGATTCACAAAGCATTTGCTTTGCCACAAAATCATCTGGAAACTAGGACAATTTGATAACCTATACAATTTATTAATATATTGATAAAGAGCAGACAGGTAAGAATAAATTAAAACCTTTTTATTTAGTGTATTTTCATAGCAGTTTCTACTTACTTTCAGTTCTGAAACGGGCTCGTTTTGTAGTGGAGCTACAGACTGCCTTCACAGACTAAAACATCCTGTTTTGAAGAGGCTGACATGATGGCTTTGTCACCATGTTCTCAGTTCTAACTCAGTGCAGTGATCTCTGCTATTATGCGAGTTGCCAAACCGCGAATTGCCTCATACGCGATTGATAAATAGGGGAAAGATGTCTGTATTACACGAAACTCACGTTGGGTTCTACACGATTTCATCCCCGATGTTTACGTTTTGCGTCGTGGAGTTACACAACCGAACGAGGTGGTCCGTGGAGGAATGATGCTCAGTTCCCTCATGTGCTTTGTTTTGGAAGTGCTAATTGGGAGATGCTCATCAGTTGTTGTGCTATTTTCACTAAATCTTCTGCATTGCTGTAAATATGAGTGGATAAGGTGACAAGAATGTTTCTAAGAAGCGTGCTGGTGATAAAATTTCAGGTGGTGAACATCACTTTTTTTCAAGATGAAGTCCTAAATTTACTGTAGTATTTCTTTCTTTATTATGAATTTAACATGTATTTAAACTGTGTTAACATTTTTATTAGGATAATTATTACATGTGGTAAAGCTTTGGTTAGGTTTTGAGTGGTCTGCCCCTATCCCTATTTTTCCCATAAGCCCTGTTATTTCCATTGCGCGATGTTGCAAAAAGCGAGGTTTTACAGGAACGCATCTATCGCGTTATAGCAGAGACGCCTGGAATTCCTGTATTGGCGTTATGTATTGTCAAATACAAGAACCAACTGACCGCAGAGATAGTAGGTTTAAAGTAGGTTATGCAGCATGGTACTGTAAGTCCCCTGCTAAGCGAGCAGCGATTTGTATGGTCAGTTTCAGAGAGGAGAGGGAGGACACACAAGAAGCCCGGGCCTCTCCACTGCCCTCCCCCTTCTTCTCTGCCATCCTGGCTGCCTTCCAGCCCGCAGTCTGTGATGACGCCGAGGAGGCCTGGCGCAACCACATCAACCAGCTGGTGTCCGATTCCGACGGCTCCTGTGCCGTCTACACATTTCACGTCTTTTCCTCCTTGTTCCAGGTGAGGAATAAGACGGCATCCCCACTTCATGGAGTGGTGTAGTTCAATCCTGTTTTTAGGCAACTGTGGAAACTTATTCTTCAGGCGAACTCCAGACACCTTATCCTAAAATCTGTAGAAGAGCAATAGTGTCTGGTACTTAAGAACTACTTCAGTACTGGGCCCAAGGTTTTAGTTTAAATTTAGACCAGAAGGCTAGAAGCTACTTTTCCATTGTCAATTTTAATTTAAAAAATAAATATTTAGAAGTATTTGAAAATTTTAGTGAGCACTTATGTTACTCCAGTGAAATAATGGTATTTCGATTTCTTTCATCTTCTTTATTCAACAGTTTGTTTTCAGTTATTTTAGCAAGACTGAAAAGAATATCAAGGCTTTTCTATGTACAAATTAGTGTTTATTGACAGGCAATAGTTTAGAAAACCTTCTGTGTAGCCCGAGTTGGCCTGTGATATGATGAATGATAACCCTTGCCCCAGCTGGTCTTGAAATGTAAACGTGTAAAAAATATTGTGCTTCCCAGAATATACAAAACAAGTTCTGCTCCTTAACCTGTGATGCTGCTGGTTACCTTGGAGATGGCCTTCGTGGGATAGGGTCAAAGTTCGTGAGGTCTTCCCAAATGCTGACATCATGCTCAGAGTGCCCCACACTCTTTGTAGATGCAGATACTGTGAGTATTGTGTATGCCAATTAAAGAAATACCTCAGTCAGGGTCTTTTTTAATTGTCTGCCCTTCATTGTAAATCTTCATTGCTATCTGAAAACATTGAAAAAGTTCACTCATTCACCAGGTCTGGCATTGTTGGCTCTTATCAGATAACTACTGTAGTATAGCTATTCCTGAATGAAAAATAATGCCCTCTGTCTTTTGATCTGTATTATTTTTAAGGGACAATGCTAAAACTTTAAAATGTTGTAAATTAAAATGTAGTAATGAAGGAATCATTTAGAAGGTTGCTCATTATAAAACATATTTTGACATTAATGGGACCGTCTTCTCTCTCATTGTAAAGATTTGAGGATTTATTTTTGTTGTTTTCTTTTTTTGCTATATTTTTCTTCCAGATCATCTCTTACGGGTTATTAGAGAAGATGAAGTTTAGCGTACTTGAGCTCCAAGAATATTTGGACACCTACAACAACAGGAAAGAAGCAGCCATTTCAGTAAGGCCTGCTCATTTACCACAGTGATTTCTCAAGGTTTTGCAGAAAAGGAGCCTTTCAGACTGACTGACTATAGCTGTCAGCACTTTGCTTTGCTATTTTACTGGTCCAAGGACAAACTTCCTCTATTGAAACCTTATTGAGCAATGAGAAATTTAGAGTTGGCATTGATGTGGTGACATTCCGAAGGACTCCTTCAGTCCTGAAGCCACTTCAGTTACCATGAAAGCCTGTTGGGATTCCTACATACTGAGCAAACAATGCTCTGGCAACCAAGTCTTCAATGCCAGTACAAGCAGAACAAGATATACCACCTGTAATTGCTTTCCTAGCAGATCATGGCTGCAGCAGAAAAACACTACTATCTTGGTGTCTATGGCATTCTGTCAAAATATGTTTGGAAAAGGGCGTGCTAAAGATTCTTCGCTATTAAAGATGTAACACACAACTGTTTTCCATTCCCAGTAAGGAACAGATTATCTCCCATAACAACTCATGTCAATCACCTCATGATTATGAAGGAAGAGCTACTGATCCTTGCTTTATTGGCAAATCAAAATACATCTAATAATTGCGGCCAGGACGTCAAAAGACATTTATCGATTATGAAATAAGACATTTATTGATAAAGAAAAAGGCATTTTAATGATTAAAAAAAGGTCATGGAAATCAGTCTGTTCATCTCTTTTGATTAAACACCCTGATAAAAATAACCTTTAGATAACCCATAGGTTTCTCTAGAAATGTACTGATTTGCAGCTTCCTTGTTTTCACAGTGGTTGAGAAATTGCAAGGCAAGCTTTCCCAAAGGCTCGGGGGATGGAGTTATTACTTATCAGCCAGGAGACTCAGAGGAAAAGGTAGGAAATGTGATCTTGTTATAAAAATAGTGATGTGTACCTGAAGCACTCTGCAAATTTTAAAATCACTGCACAATTTATGATGACACTAGCTGAGTAAATGTTAACATTGATAACATTTGACATTGACATTGAAGAATTCAAGTAACTGGAGCTTAGTTCGATGGTTATTGTGCAGTTTTTAGAGCATGGTATTGATTATACCTGAAGCCTGGAAACAGTAAATGTTGTGTACAGAGTATTTTAGCAGAATAACGATTCACTCAACTTGCTTCTGAATTCAACTAATTCAAAATATATTGGCAAGAAACCATCCCCATTTTAAATACTGCACATTGTGTCAGTCATCAAAGCATTATTAAGCTTGAATTATTTTTAGAAAGAACTAACTACTGTTGACACAATTCCTATGAAATCTGGCACTCTGTCCTTCTGCCCAAGCTTATTTTTATTGTTTTTCTGGTGGAATAATGCTTACAGATTACATATTTCAGGTGATAGGAAAATGTAATACTAACGTATTCCTGTGGTAATTTGGAATGATTGTCTGAAATATGCACCAATTTATTTAATTATTTCTCATACTGAGTTTACACATTGTGTACCTGGAACCTAACAGATTTCCATTTATTTTAAAACAAAGCCCAATTTCATTACTTTGTAGTTCCAATGTCAAATAAAAGTGAATTGTGAGATGAGGAAAAGGGATAAATGGAAAAACAGCTACTTTCTGTCGGAGATGGTTGAAGAAAATTGTAGTTTTCATTGTTTATTTGCTTTGGATATACTCTTGTTCACAGTGAATTATAATTGTATATTGCCTCAAAGTAAAGCACAGAAAATGATAATAAAACACAAGCTTACGATTTATAAACACATATCATAACAATCAGAAAAAGATGAATGCAGGTGTCTGATGATGAGGTAATTACAACACATGCTTAGCAAGGAGGATGATTTACAATATATCAATATGAAGAGTACTACAGATAAGCACGTGGGGTTGGTAATCTTATTAAATTTTACTAAAAACAGCAAAACAAGCTAAAAGAAACTTGTTTCCCCTAACGTTAATCTGCTTTCATCCTAGTTTGATAAATGGTGCAACAACTTGAGAACTAGTAGTTTGTGTTTTAGTATTGATTAAGAAAATGCTGCTAATGAAACATGATCTGTATTTTCTATCACTCATGCCACAGTGCGGAGTATTAGAGTTTTTGTGTCCTGTCCAAAGGGTTCTGGGTTCAATTCTGTTATTACTAATCCAAAATGACTTCCAGTATATTTTTACCCATTTGTGCAGCTAACGTACTGATACTTTTACTTTCCTTGAACATTATTTAACTTTTTGAGCTAAGTTGATATCATGTGTAAATTAACAAGGATAAATGCAAGAAGGAGCAGCTAAAATTCCATATAATTTGACTAACAAAAAAATGACAGAAAGCCTTCCTGATGTCTAATGTATAATTTCATTAAATGGCAAACTCTCCATGTTCCTATATAAAAAAATATCAATGTAATTTGGTTCATTAAAGACTGTATTGCTATCTAAATTGATCTTCTACGTTTCCCCTACTTTTTTCTATGATGATTACAATAACTCTTGAGTAGTTCTGTGAGTGAAATACTTTCATTTTTCCTTGTATCTGTCTACTTGGCTATGAGCTTGTCTGGATAACCCTAGCTGCCAAGCATTACATTGATTCCTTCATTCTGCTCTGATCAGTTTGACAGTGTGACATCTGAACTCTGCTGGGCAGAAAATGGATTTTCAAGCAAATGCACCTCCCAGGCAGGTGCAGTAAAATCCCTCCACTTCAATTCTTGTAAGAAATCCACAGTGTATCATTTTAAGTTTGAATTAAGGTGGCCAAGAGAGGACACGCACAAATAATCAGTCCTCCTTCTAAACATTTAGAAGAAATCTGTGAGATTTAAAACCTGATTTTCCCCATCGGGTTAGTAGAAATAATCTGAACTAGGTTTTCCCAGCAGAGTACCTGTTCATATAAAAGGCACGACTGCTTTCCTGCTTTGCTTGAGAAAGACAACCGTGAGGGCAATGCTCCCTCTGTGACTGTTTTGATGTAGCTGTTTGGAAAGCTCTGTTTACACCAACAGCTTCTCTTTCCTTGCATGTTCTATGAAATCAAAACATTATGATTACTGCTAATACTGTTGTCATCTGAATGGGATTGTGCTAAACTGTGCATGCTCTTCATTGATTTTCTATATTTTCTTCCTCTCACCTTTTTGTATCCTATCACATGCTTGCTGTGTAGCAAATGGAATCTCTGGCAGTAAGTTCAAGAACAGTTTTTCAATCTTTCCGGGCAATCTTTTTTGGTGGGATAAAGAAAAGATTGCCTTTTCAGACGATTATTGACGTCCTGCTACGTTTTCTTTTAAAAAACCTTCTTGTGCTGTTTGAGTTATTGCTCCTCAAATAAAAATGGTGTCACAAAAATTCTGGCTTCCAAGAAGTTCCTGGCTTCTCTAGTTCTGAAGGGAGAATTCAAGTAGTATGTTCAAAACCTTGAGTTCAAGGTCCGACAGTTTGCTTTTTTGTATAAAACAGCACATTTACAGAAACACACCGGGACAAATGTTTTTCAAATGTCTTGCAGTTTTTCTAATGCCTTCATTTCAAATGTGGTTCAAATTTGAATCTGACATGTCAATAGCTTTATTTTCCTAAAATAAATAAAATGAATCTATTATAGGGCATATTTTTTTATACTTTTCTTATTTTAAATCAAGCATAGTTAAAAAAACACTCAGAGATATTTAACTGCCTGTACTTCATTTAGCATATTAATATCGGTAGCGTGCTTCTCTGAGAAAGGGATTTAAAAGCATTTAATCTGCCTCAAAGAGGATAAAAAGTATATCTGTCATGCACCAAACATTGTTGTGTGTAGAAGTTATACCTAAAAATATAATAGAAACATTCGTTTTTATTGTTCATAGAAATAAATGTTTGGAGTATTAACTGTACTTCTATGTTTAATTCCTGTTTGTAAGAAAGGCCTTTTTATTTGTTGTCCAACCAGCAACTGGAGCTGTGTCAGCGGTTATACAAACTCCACTTTCAGCTGCTGCTGCTTTTTCAATCCTACTGTAAACTCATTGGACAGGTCCACGCCATAAGCTCTGTACCAGAGGTAGGCTGACTTCATTATTCTCCTTCCTCACATACTTGCTCACTGGGTGAACAAAGAAATCATTACTACGGCTCAGCCAGAACAAGGCGCAGTATTCTGCATGAAACACCCCGTTCATTATTTTTCATTGAAAGTTACGGGGGGGTTGGGTTGAATTGGTTTAAAGTCCTGAATACTTTTTTCCCCAAAAGTTCATGCTTTAAGGATTTAATAAATAGTGATATTCAAAGAGTTCTGTTGAGAATTTTTTCTTTTTTTTTACACGTACCTCAGGTATACAGAGATTTTCAATTCTAAACACAATTATTTACTTTTCACAGTGACCTTTGTCAGGAGTAAGTTGCTTCCTGATATAGGAGCATGAATGATTTAGATTGAGAGAACAACTGAATACTCTCTTTATAAGTCTTTCCAAAATTGTCTTGATATCCTACAGTATGTGGCCAGTTGGGTCTATAAGCAATTTTTTGCTTTTGTCTTTATTTTTTTCTGTTTCATTAAATTTTCAGCATAGTGGGTAACAAGTAGGTTGTGGGTTCAAGTCCCTGCTGCAGACACTCCTGTTGTATATTGAGTGAGGTACTTTACTCCTGTTGCTTGAATACACTCACGCTGTATGAGTGGAGACCAGCATTGTGGGGGGTCCTTCCTCAGTCACTCAGTAGACTGCCATCCCATCCAGAATGAACTGTCAGCTACTCTGACAGGATGAACTCTACCATTCGATTTTTATTTTGTTTCAAACAATAAAATGATCTTATCAGTTAGTTCATATACTACATTAGAATTAGGCATATGAACTCTGCTGTGAGGCTTTAAACCTTAAGAACAAAAATGCGCTCACCAAAAATGAAGGCTTATTTCTTTTGCTGGTTACTGCATAGAAAAATACATTTTGAAGGTGGAGTTGAGCTTGGCATACTGTTTTTCACATTGACAAACTGTAGGCATTGAACCAAACGAAAGTACTTGTTTTTTTCTGACATACATTTCATTATTTAAAATCAAAAGCAACCATTATTTCCTAGTAAGATAAATTAAAGCACACTTTTAGATCCTCTGAGCTGTGCTGAACAGGGGAAAACATCCAGGGTGGTAAAAGGTACAGTGCTCAGAGAAACTGACTGCTTACTTATCCTTCCACAGTACTCTTCCAGACACTTGTAAATTGTTTAGTATATGAATTGATTAGGTGTGCTTGACCTACAATAGACGTTATAATTATGGTGTAATTCTAAACCATACTACATGAATAGCATTTTCAGTTCCTTCAATTTATGGCAACTGCTTAGTCCATGACCTGGTTATGGTTTCTAACTTACTAGGCGATGCAGACAAGGTAGGATGAACCCTGGATGAAACGCCAGTCCATTGTAGGCCATATGTATGGGGGAGAATTTAGAGACATCACTTAGCAGAGTCAGCATGTCTTTGGACTGTGGGATCATACTTGTGCTCTCAGAGAATACCCACACAGGTGGTGGACATTTCTGTCACAGTGCAATGTTGAGAAAGTGTTGGGAAAGGTACAGTATATCCAGGGTCCCCTAATTAAAATACTATGCTTTTTCCGTCAGAGTAAAGAAGTGACAAGATGTCGCCAAAGGGCAGTCATGCTTCCAGGAAAAAAGTTTTGCACTTCAAATGTTGCTTGTATAGTGATTTACTAACCTGTGTCCCTGCTCTCTGTGTCGACACCAGCTGTTAAACATGTCCAAAGAGCTGAGTGACCTGAAGAGCAGTCTGAGGTCCGCGGCTGTCTCTATGGCCAGTGACCTGGCGGCCCAGGAGAGCCCTCGCACCCAGCCTACATTCAGCTCCTCCGAGACCGCTGTCCAGGCTGTGTTGGAGTGCCTGAAGAATAACGAGTTCACCACAGCCATCCGCTACATCAGGGAGTGTCGGTGAGAGCTTCTTTACTTAGACAGACACGCTTTCATTCTCATTTCATTAAGACACAGAGACAGCTTCACGTGTGCTTGCAGGCACACAGTGTCCATTTGACAAACAAAGCTCTGTCATCTGTATATGATCTAACGGTCATATACAGTAAGTTACTTTAACTACATTGGTTGAACCTTTATGTTACAAAAGCGGTCTCAACATTTACCTGACCACAAATGTTCTGTACTGCTGGAACCTTAACAGCAAAAAGTCTGAGTGTGTTTTTTCATGATAGCCCTAATAAATCGAAGGCTTCTGGGAATTCACAACTTTTCAATATCACTCAAAGTACATAATTTAAAATAGCCTTAATCAGAAAGGCATTTTCACCCACTTTCAAAAAAAGGTAAAAAAAGAACAACTTGTAAGAATATCGATTCAACTCATTTGGTTAAATTAAAAGAAGGGTTCTGGACCTTTGGCACAACAAAGAGAGCCCATGCCCTTTGTATGCTGCTGCCAAAAATCTTAAAGTAATAATTCATTTGGAAAGCCTCAAAGAACACAGCAAAAATTACAAATAAAAAGAGTATATCCTCAGTGCTGCAAGGTGAAAATAAAATGTTTGTCCTTTTCCAAGATACAAGGTTGTTATATCACATCTGAATTAGGAGTGCTCTCTCCCTGAGAATACAATCCAATGAGATTTTATGTCTCTGTTATTCAGACTTGTTAATCCAGATGTCGAAATTACAATTGTCTGAACTGGAATTAAATTCAGTTTAACCCATTAATCCAAAAGCCAACATAACTTGTGTTCATGGAAGTAGGAATATTCAACTTTCATTTTATCGGGAATCCTTTTTTAACACTCCTCTCAAAATTTAGACTTCTGTCAGAAAAGTGTGGAATGGCATTAGCAGATTATCACATCGAAATTCGTGGTATCTGTACCCACGGGATTTAGCATACTCTGACTCCATGTTTGTTCCTTTTTAATGGCAGGAGTGTGTGGCCCAATGACATCTTTGGAAGCACCACAGAAGACGAGGTCCAGACACTACTGAATATTTACTTCAGACACCAAACCCTGGGACAGACAGGCACGTTTGCACTAGTGGGCTCCAAACAGGACCTGTCTGAGATCTGCATGAGGCTGATGGAGCTGAATGGAGAGATTCGGGACATGATCCGCAGGGCTCAGGGCTACAAAGTCATCACAACCTTCCTCCCAGACTGCAACGTGTCCGGCACGAGTCTCTGACAGGAGGAGTGGAGTGCCCAGCTTTCGTTCCCACCTGGAATTGCTGCTGCTGTGGAGAGATGCCCCGTAAAGTCTCTTCGGTTCTGGAAAAAATCGGACAAGCTGTCCAGAGTCTGATCACCGCTGATTTCGGATTTTCTAATGCAAAGTCGTCGGAAGTGCAGCAATACTGTGTGAGCAAAAGCAGTGTGAAACCCTTCACAACCTAAACTTGGCTTTTATTGCACTAATGTTATTTATTGCGTCACAGAGCGGAGGCTACCACTTGTTACTGAGATGAATGACTTCCGCACCTAACAAGGATATACCAAAGTTCTATTAACTTATTCTTCTGCAGATATTTACTATTTTATTTGTCTGGGGAAAATGTGCAATGCTTCTCTCAAGTGAAAGACTTTTACTATACAATTGAAAGAATGTGTTTTGGAATTCTAATGCTTTTGGCTACTTGAAACTGAAGAACTGTATTAACAGACAGAATGACACGAAATATTTTTTCACTGCTTGGTTAATCCTGAGAGACTGTGTGTGTGTGTGGAACGAACTGTTAACCAGACTCGCAATTAGTGAACACTGTAATGCATCAAAATACATGAACTACTCCAAAACAAATCAATAGTGGAGAGCTACTGTTCTACATGTGCATACTATTCTGTTAGTCTTTCATCACTTAAAAGACTGATCCTCATATTTTATACAGGTGTTGTTTGCTTTCTACTGTGTAGTCAGTTGCTCCTAGGTTTTCATTTGCATTACTAAAAAGCAAAATGCATTTAACTTAAAAGTAGATTTCTAGAATGAAAACAATTGTTCATGTCCAGTCTACTTAAACTGCCAAGCATGCATACTTTATGTATTACGAATTGTATTTGAATATTTATGAAAGTTATTCAGAAATTCTCATTTTAACGGAAAGATGCATCTGTATATAGTACAAAAGGAGCTTTGCTCAAGCTGGTAAGATTTTATTTTTTAATTTGTGCAGTAAAAATACAGAAATGTGTGCATGTAAAGAAATGTTGCACATTAAAAAAAGCTTCCATTAGGAAGAGTATTTATGTATGTTTTTCACCTTGTAAATACTTTTACAGCTTTTGTGAAGTAATTTGGGTTGTTCTGTACACTTATGTAACAAAGTAAAAAGATCACAAATAAGTTTTGAATGTTTAAATGTTCAACTCATTTTCCAACCTCAAGGGTCATATTTACTTGGAAAAAAAACACTAAAATCAGACCTGTATTTGGAAGCGAAAAAGCAACAGATCTACTGTTCTAATAGCTTCTTTTAAAACAAAAGAAAAGCACGTGCTTTAGCTTTAGAAAACCCTTGCAGTAAAAGCCCTCCACCTTCCCTCAGAAAGCCACTTATTCCTGGTCCTAGCCCACCCAATTCCTATCCCAGAAGCATGATGGACATGAAGGGGCTACAGGCTTAACAGCATGCAAACTCCACCAAGAAGGGGGTGCCACAGTCTCAAGAGGTTTGAGGCAGAAGGGCTGGCTTCCATGCTACCTCAGTAACATGAATGTTGGTTGTTCACAAATAACTCTTGTAGGTTAAGACAAAGAATATCCTCGTTTAAAGATTACCAGTTTGCTCCATCCAATAGTGACAGCATGGCCTGGAGAGCCCCCCCATGTGTAGATCACAAAAAAAGTTTTTCTAGAACCTGGGAACATTAATTGATGAATTACACGAGACACTCCAAGCCTAAGAACTCTACTCAACAACTGAAAGGCTGCTCGGCTACTGGTGCTGAATGATCTTAAATTACACTAAACTGGTTTCAATTTCTTAGAAGTTTGGGACTACTCAAAACCTGCTTTAGTAGGTCTCTCCAGGTCAAAAGCCTTCACCAAAGCCACAAGCTTAACACCAGCTCTTAATATTTCGAGTTATAGCTAACCGTTTCTACAAATGAAAGCTATTCTGCACTGCAATACAGCTGTGGAGTGAGAATTAGACTTTATAGTGAAAAGGTTTTGGAACAAAAGCCACCGAGTACAAGAAGCAAGTGTTATGGGCAACCCAGTCCTTCAGTATCCAAACTAGATGGGACATGGAAAAAACAGGAAAAGTCAGTCTCATAGCCTCCTTTTGATTCTGATCTTAAGCACCTGTATAAGAGCTGTCCAAAGAATAAAATGTTTAAGTACTACTGTAATATCACTTAAAATTAAAGAGGCATCTAAAATTGCTAAATTGGTCTCCACATGGCTTAACTGGAAATTTCACATCCCCACAGTAGATAAGATTCCCCCCCCCAGGCCTCATATAAAGAAGCTTAAGTTCGCTGTAGTTTATTGCACATTTTATTTACACTCTGCATTTAAAGATACAAAAATAGAATCAATCTCAGCATAGCCAACAATCAGGTTATAAAAAGCCAGTCTGGAAAGTGCCCGTGTACAAGTGGGTTGGTAGGTCTTAGACAATGTACTTGAAGCTGTAAGTGGTGTCGCAGGACAGCCTCTTTCCCTTGCAACGGCCACACAGATCCTGGCGGTGAGGCCTCTTGATGTCAATGTGCCTCTTCTTCAGCACACAAGAGCAGCGATTCTTGGAGCAGGTCTGCAAGAGGACATCAAGTTGAAGCAGTAGCCATCATTATACACTTGTCCCATTTACAGAAGCTACAAGGTACCATCCAGGTTCATAGAAGCACATAGCAGCCTCAGGCTTAGTAAAAGATCTTCAAGCACTGCTGTAAGACAGGGGCAGCTAAATATACTCTAATCTACACTAGACATGAATCCAGTAGTTGGACTCTTTACTGCCACAGATGGAGCTGAAACAAGTCACGCAGTGGAAGGTTTAGTAGAATGGATTAGCAGTATGAAAAAAAAAAAACCAAGAACAAAGAGAAGGACGAATGGGAGCTCGCAGGACAGCAGCCTTCCCGGTCTGCACCATATGGAACAATTTAACCCCCGGTGAGCTCGTAGAAAGGCCATTCCCGGCAACTACTGCTGCATGCTGAACCGTTGTGCATTTGATAAACCGATTGATGGCTACAGACAGCGTACCTGGCAAAGGATAGATTCCACTTTGTAGGGATTATAGCCCTTCTGACACTTGCGGCACAGTTGCTTGAAGTACACCTGTTGTAGAGATCGTTAGTACCATTAACGCAAATTAACTAGGACTGGGCTAGCGACATTACCGCACGCCAATTTACCTTATTGGTTCCTGAGATGCACCACACATAAGCGCTTTCCCATCGGATATTACACTGGCTGCAGTGGAAGAACCCATACTTCTGTTCCAGAAACTACAAGCAGAAGCCGGTTAATTTCTCTGAAAACAAAAACCACCAAAACCGAGAAGGGGGCGGGGCAGCTCACCTGGAATCTGAATTTCCTTTGCTCTTGGGAGGTACTGTACACTTTATCGACCTGCTGCCCCTCATCGTGCTTCGGCTGAAATTCATGTCCACCCTCCTTGGTCGGTGGGAGAGTCTTTGCGCCTTCGTCTCGCTCGTCGGCATCCGAATCCGAAGAGAAGTCGTTTTCCTTGTTTTCTTTATCAGCCAGAGTAAAGAACCTCCTGTCAAACACCGGCGAGTAGATCGCAATAGGTCGTGAAAAACGGACGTTGTTCACAGGAGTGCTGGGCATGAATTTGCTTTTCATTAGCGAAGGGCTCATAGCTGGGCTCCTCGGGGGAACCCATTTTCTCTGGCGGTAGAAGAGCGTCTTGGGTCCGAGAGAGCACTGCACAATAGCATCTACCTTAGGGTTAACTTGGACCCCGATCTCCTTTGTATTGGCTTTCCTCAGCCGAGGCGTGAGGTTCGGGTTTACCTGAGAGAGGATTGCTTTCAGTTGAGCTCTTTTGCAAATATCCAGATAATCCACAGCTTCGGGGGCGATGTAGGTTTCGCCCTTTTTATTCCAGTTCTGGTGCTTTGGTTTCTGGTTGTAGTGGGTATACGGGCCATATCCTGGATAAACATTATAGTTATATGGCGGCAGTAGGAACCCTTCCATCGCACTCAGATACAGAGTGATTCGCCAGCCGGTTTAAATAAGGCGTTCGATGAGCATTTGTGATTTGTGACGTGCTAATTGAGGTAATCACATTAGTTACTAAATCACAATATAATTGCGTGACGTGTTAGCTAGATGTAGAGTGTGGATTGGTCAACGGAAATAGAAAATGAAATGAACATACTCTTATTATTAGTTGTGCTAAATATTGGTTTCAGTAATCAATTTTAATATTGAAGAGATACAATATTTCTTCCCGGAAAATCATTTTGAAACGATACAATGTCAAATAATAACAGTAAGACAAAGCTTCTTGTTAACAGTGGATCACTCACAGACTTACAACAGTTAATCGGATATGAATTGCACATATCTCTGATAACTATTTATCTGATGATCTAATAAGTATTGTCCGATTAAATATTCAAGTGCCTGGATTTTATTTCGGCAAAGATATCACCGGTAGTAAAAAAGACGGTAAGGCTGAATCTATAACGTTGTGATACAAGTTGTTCATGAATAGGTACTGTATGTCCATACCACAACGCACTCTGCCTTCTTTATAATACTTAGAAAAGCAGTTTCACAATTCGCTCAGTTTTCCTACATCCAGTATCCATTTTTATTCATAATTAATTTAACTGAAGTAAATAACCCAGGTGTATTCCACAGAGGATAGAAAGTTAAAGGTTACAATAAAAAATCTGACCAAAAATCAAAAGATTGATCATCATATTAATAATCCCGCTTGATCGCCCTCACCAACCTTTACGCTTCTCTCCTTAGGACGCAAATTCTGTTGTGAACATTAATTATGTCACTGCATGGGCGTTTTTAGAATGTGCTTTGCTTTCACTTGGTGGGTAGTTTATCTCTAGGTGCTTGTCCCATCAGGTGCTAATTTATTGAATTGAGTTCTCTGGGCTGCTGTTCACGGCGCGCCTGTTCACGTTTCTTGTCCCGCCCACTGCCGCAAGGCCGAGCTGCGATTGGCTACAAGGAACACCTTCCGTGTGAGGCTGTGGCGCGCGGTCTGAGACCGCTGCGGCGCAGTTTGTTTTTGGGAGGCACAGCGGCAGCAGAGGAATGTATTAAACTTGAGCTTTTGGGACCTGTGATTGCGGTGATGGTTCCACGGTAATGTTTGTCATCGACGTTTTTCGCTAGAAATTTAATTGGTGAGTATTTTGGTGTCTTAACAACATCTGGTTTCCCTTTTTAATCGGTTTGTTGGTTCGGGGATTCGAATAAGATGTGCCGTTTTAAGTGATAGAAAACTTAAGCATTAGTATAAAACGTACCGTGTAGTACAACTACGGAACTGTTCTTAACCAAGCCAAACGCTATCAAAATTAATGCGAATCAGAAAGTTAAATATAAATTTCCCTCCGGTATTTCAACTCTTTGCCTGTGTTATACTTAACGTTTGGTAAACAAAAATACTGCTTGCTATCTGTAAGTCGAGCTTTTTAAATGTTGTGGTGTAATGCTGTGCTCTGTAACGTGTAACTGTAACTGTGCTCTCTAAGCAGTCTCTAAGAAAACCTGATCATGCACATTGTTTCCTTTGAAGGTCCGATGCTTAGGCAACCATGACAAGACTTTCTCTAAATAATGAAGTGGAAGCAAATTCAAGAAGAAACATTTTTGAATTGTTCACCCACCGCGTCAGTGCAGGTAAACGATTCTGCAATCCATGTGGCCAAAGACAAACAACAGACCACACGTTGTGCTTTCAAATGTTTGATCCTTATGTAGGACTGCGTGTTTCCGACAAGCGAGTCTATAAGTACTCATAGCTTTAATTAAATAAGGATATTTATTATATTCCTTTTTGGATGTGCAGCAGACCAGGATTGATGATGTTTCAAAACCCGGGGCGACTTTTTCAGTGCGAAATGTAGTCCGCTTTCATTCTTTTTAAATTCACGAATTCAAGATAACAGCACGAGCAAACAAAGCAGTTTGTTTCTCCAGATGTACACCCCAGTTCGGAAGTTAATGTAGGGAGCGACGTCTGCTTTAGAGAGAAATAAAGCTTTGACATCACCCTGACAGTTCCCTTTCTGGTGTGACACTAGGGTAGTCCTAACAAATGTCCAGTGACGTGACCTTGATAACCAGACAGCCCCAGAATATGACAACCTTACAGTACGTCTCTAACTGGGACATTCATCTATACAAACTCCACATGAGTAACAAATACTGTTGTTAACACTAAAGGAGCCATCAAAAAAAGTATTTCTAAATCTAAAAAATCAGACTTTTTGATTTCTGGTTTCATCGTTACTGCAGTTAATCTGTTATGAGAGTATTGACATTATCAGTATTGATTTTATTAATGGGGTGGCACAGTGGTTAGCACTGCTGCCTTACAGCACTGGGGCCCTGGGTTCAATTCCTGGGGTGCTCTCTGTGTGGAATGTGTAGTGTATATTTTCTCTGAGTTTGCTTGGGTTTCTTCCAGTTGCCCCGATTACCTCCCACAGTCCAAAGACTGTGTACTGGTAGGTTAACTAGCTTCTGAGAAAATTGGGCCCTGGTGTGAGTGTGTTTGCATGTTTGTGTCTGTGTCTGCCCTGCAATGGACTGGCATTCCGGCCAGTTTGTGCCCTGCCTTGCCTCTTGCCATTGCTTGCTGGAATAGGCTCCCCTGCGACCCCATATTGGGTGACGCATTAGAAAATGGATGGATGGAGTGTCTTTCTGATCTCTTCATTATACGGCATTACTAAACCCTTTTCTCCTTATGAAGAGTTGGGCCCCCTGCACCCGCACTGGTTTGAGGATCTCACCGCTGAGGCGACAGCCCTGGGCGCAGTGGAGGATGGGAATGGAGTGTGCAGGAGCTCCGTGTCCCACTGCGTCCCGGGCAGCTGTTCCGGCTCGCCGATGGAGAGGGCAGAGGTGCACAGCCAGGCGGCCTCCACGCCGAAGATTCTCGGGGAGCAGGGCTTTCGGTCCCCCGAAGCATTAACCCCCGAGCAGAGGCCTGTCTCGCAGGCGAGAGCTGGTGGGTTTGGTAAGACATCGCAGTCGCTATGCTGTGTTTAACTGGATACACTCACTGATTGTGCTGTATAGTCTTAGTCAAGGCAAGGTGCTGTTGTGGGAAATCCTTCACCCAAGGAGCAGGACACAATCTTTGTGGATTCAGTTGTTTTGTTGAGCTCAATAATGACATCAACGTGCGTTGGGTCTGCCCCGCAGAACTGACAAACCGCAAGGGTTTCCCAGCTCTTATATACAGTATGATCTCAGGAAGTTGTTTTGTTTCACAGCTTCATGTGTATTCGTCTTGCCCTTTGATATGTAGCATGAGATGACCGGTTGGTCCTGTCTCAAGTCCTGTCCTTTGATGTGTTGCTGTAATTGTTGGAGCTGCTTAAGATGTGTTAAAACAGCCGACATATTACACAATGTGCCTGAACCAACACTGTAGTGTTGAATACAGATAAATTATATATATATTTTCCATCAATAATATATATAATATAATAATATATATATAAGTGTTTTCCTACTTCAGTGCTGTAGGGTGTAAGTAAAATATCCATTTTAAAACATGAGACTTTTTTGTCATGTTTCTTTCCTTGGTTACACAGGGACTGCTGAAGTGTCTAAAAGAGAGCCTTGGTTCGATTCCAGCCCCGGTTTATTTGGATTGTCAAAGGACAGGTACCATTGTCTGTCATTGCGTGTCCCCACATGTTACTAATTCTGCTTTAAGATAAGAAGCAACTGCATGTCGAAAGATCGCAACATACGTTTGGTTTTTGGCCCATGTGAAAGTTTTAAGCAGTGCATGTTCTATATAGAGATAAAGTTTGTGGATAACTGGCAATAAAAGTTAACCTATTTTTATTTAGTTACTGTTGTAATTTTGCTTTGTATTAGAGTGCTAGATACTGTAGGGTATTCAACTGCAATACGTGGTTTTCTCTAAAATGCATTATTTTACATTTCAGCCCAGAAATAAGTCATTTTTACAGAAGACCTCTTCCTACAGAAAATTATGGTAAGCTTGTGCTTTCGTTTCAGTGGCTAAGTTCATGCGGGTTCCAGTTGACCATATTGTTTTGCAGTGCAAAAAGAAGGATAGATGCCTGCAGGACTGGCTGTTACGAAGGATATTCTGAGGCGTTTCATACTGGGTATCACCAGTGTATTTAAATACTTATGTTTCTAAGAAGATTTTTCTTTTCCTAATTTAGAAATTTCAGAAAATGTCAGTCAAAAGATGATTTGACATTTTGTCATGCAGATTTTATAGTCGCCTCTCATAGAAGTCTGTAACCCTAGTCTTGGAGAATCACAGTGCTTCAGGTGAAATGATAAATTAATGAGGACCTACAAAGTACAGTTAAGTTTGTGCAAGGTAACAAACTTAATAGACAGAAGAATAAATAAGGTGCCTTGGTTCTCCAGGACCAGGGTTTTAGTCCCTTGACCATAAATGCACATAATTCAGTGAGAAGACATTTAAATGGATATGTATTGCCCAGAATGAAATTGTGGCTTGAATTGTGAAGCTCCAAGATCATTAATGATAGTAAAAAAAAAACATTTTTAAACAGTATCACAAAAAAGCAAGATATGGTGATGCATCTTATTCATTAGGGTAATAAAGTGTCATTGAGCTGTATTAATGATACATCTTGCCCATATTAATCTGCCTGTGGAGTTTGTTCAGTGTTTCAAATACTTAGTAATAAATAAAAATAAACTCTCCAGAGAATACCAATTTCGTTTTTAAGGAGGCTAGTCAGCATACATTTTTGATCAGGAAGCTGAAAGGGTTTTGGATGAGAGAAAATATTTTAGGGAGGGTTTATAGAATGCTAGTAGAAAGAATCCTTACTTTTGGTATCACTGTGTGGTATGGTAGCCTGAGAGTAAGGGAAAATTGTTAATATTGCTAGTGAAATAATTGGTCAATCACAGAAGCAGCTTGAAGAGCTATATTATATTGCAGTTCACAAGAAAAACTCAGTTATCATTGATGACTCCTGTTACCTGCTTCAATCCCTTTCCAGCTGGTACCTTCAAGGAGGCGTTTTAGAATGCCAGTGGCCAAGAAAAACTTATTCAAGAAATCCTTTGTTCTCTCTACAGTTGGTATATTAAACACAGCTAAATGACTGTTTCCTGTCTAGGAATATTGTTTGTTTTTTATGTATATTTATTTTATGTTGAGTGTTTTTTGTAGTTTTGTATTGTGATCCCAAAGACAAATTTCCCCCCTCTTGGATGGACAATTAAGTTAAATCTTATGTTATCAAACTACATAATATGTATGCATCCATGTAATATCATTATTAAGAACATCTACAGTACTGCCCTGAATCAGCATATTTAATGATTAAAAACGCATGCTAGGTGGTATAAAACCTTTGAGTCCTGTCTGTCCGTATCTTTGGTATATACCTGTAGTTAATGGTTACACACGTGAAACACATTGATCAGGAAACTGAACTTATTCCAAATCTCTTCCACTCTTGTTTTTCTTCTAGTTGGAGACTTATTTGACACACCAAAGGGCTATGTGGTAAGCATGTGATAATTGTATAGTTCCAAACATCATTTTAGGCTTTATTCCAATTTGGTCATTAATGCTGATGCTAATTTCATGTTTTTATCATTCCTGGGCAGTGTTTTAAGACTTGGGAATTTCATAAAATTATCAGTGCATTTACTAAATCACAGTTCCTCTTTTATGAGATGTTTTTAATACATAAATACTTGTATATGTTTCTTTACAAAATTGTTTTTCTTGGTACAGCTAAATCTAGACCTAACAAGTCCCTTTCCTCAGTATGAAATAATGGAATAGCATAAAACCGGGTACTTAGAGCTAATAATGTATTTGTTTGCAGGATTTCTCCAAAAAGCGCATTTCAGAAAGCCTTGGAGCTCAAGTGGACCCCGATATGTCATGGAGTAGCTCCCTGAACACCCCCCCAGCTATTACACCAACGCTTATACTATGTAAGATGAACACAGCCTCCTGCATTGAGTTTCTGTTGAGAATCTGGCCTGTAACAGGTTGATTGAGGGTTAAAATATAAAATATAACCTTCTTTTTCAGCCAAGACAGAAGAGAAAAGTTGCCCCAAAGGGCTGTCTGCGCAGAAAAGTGGCATCGTAAGTAGTAGTCTAGCATGAATGTTTATATTTGTGCAAATTACTGAAAAAAACATTCTAATTATGCAGAAATTGTGTTTGTCGATGAAGCGAAATGACTTTGTTTATTGAATTTGGTAATTCTTTGTTGTGAACACTTTGTCTAAAACTGGTGTACATTTGTCCGATACAGAAGAAGGTATACCCTTCCTGTCTCACATTCACAGCTTCACATTTATGCACCTTCTAAGAGTTCTAGTGAAATGTTTTGCAGATTGTGCGCAAACTCTTTCCTTCAGTGGCCAAGGAGACTGATCTTAAATTAGGTGAGCTTGCATCGGAAAATGACGATTCCACAAGAGCTCAACTACCAGGTGAGTGTCTGCTTTCAAAGCTGAGAGATAAACCAGTTTCACTTCTTTCCTGCATTGGTAGAGCACTTATATAAATATCTGAGGCTTGTTACAAATATGTAAGGTTGCGCATTAGAGGAGATTTCTAGGTACTTTAGTAATCCAGAATGACATTTTTGAATGTGCTCAGCAACATTGTTTGATATAAATGGATGCTTTAGGCTTCTATATCCCATCTTGATGGTGGTACAATTAAACTCATTCAGCCAAAATCTAAATTAGTCTTTTTTTTTTGTAAATAGATGTGAACAATGAGACGGATGATCCCGTGCTAAAGAATGGCAGCTTTCAAGATGAATTAGCGGATGAGATGAGTAGTCCTTGGAAGCAAACATTGCCAGATGCCCTTCAAGACCCAGAAGTGCGGAAAGTAGTGGCTAGCGTGCTGGATGGAGCTGAAGATGTCCTGTCTGTCTTTTTCAGCAGCAGCTCATCAGTAAGGAGGGCTAAAACCAAAGACGGAGACAGAGGGACACCGGACACCAGTCCTGTCAAGGACTGTTCATTGATGGCACCCCCAGCACTTGTACCTGGCCCTAGTAATAAAGTTCAGAATTCTGAACTGGCCAGAGAAAAGGACAAAACTGAAAAACCGACACATTCCTCTATCCCAGTTGTTGAGTCAGAAGCTCAGCCAGAAATCACGGACTGCGGGAATTCACAGTGGTCTCAGATCAGCTTTCCCGATATTTCTGACAGTCAGCTGGTCTGTCTTGCCGTATCTCAGTCCTCAAAGAACGACCCAGCATCCTTAAAGGGTCCAAGGAGAAGCAGTCCAGCGGGATCTCTGTTACTGGAGCCTTCACCAGGAGGCTGTTTAGCATTGTCTTCTAGCACAAAAAAGCCCAGGAAGTTTGTGTACTCTTTGCAAGGCTGTCCCCTCTCCGGTGAACCAAAATGTATTGCAAAGCAAAAGAGTGTAGGAAACTTGCAACCTGTTGTTTCCCATTCAGGTAGGATCTGTTTTATTGGTCTCTGCTTTGCTGTTTCACATTGTATGCATGATCCACTGTTTAAGTAAGTTTGATAATCATTTTTAAATAAAGTGTCCGTTTGAAAGTTCAGTAAGATAATGCTTTGTGTGTTTAAATGAATAACAAACTTGATCAAAAACTATCTCCATTTTATGTGAAGTGGTAAATTTGGTGCATCATGCTTCCAGAATCATATATTTTGACCTTTTGCAAATGTGTGTGCAGTGTAGTAATTTCTTTTTTAAAAATTATAAAACATTTACATTTAAACTATAGTTGCAGTCATTTAGGTTTCTGAAGTTTTGATAAAGGGAAAATAAGGGGTTAAGATTGTATTCTATTTTGGTAGAGGGAGTAATTTTTCTGAGTTTTTTTTCAGGAACCTTACGGAATGAGACGGCTGGAAGCGCAACCCCTTCCAGTGAAAGAGCTATGGCTGAAAAGAAAACAGATTGCTCGCAGTCAGCTAAGGAGTATGGGCTGTCACAACTTTCCACAATCTTTGCAGATAATTTTAGTCAGGAACTAAATGATTGTATGACCCCTTCCAATAGTGTAGGTCCTGCTTACAATGACATTCTAAAGCAAAAACCAGCAAAAACTTGTAGTGCTACACTCGGGCAGGGGAACAAAAAGATAGCGATAAATCATTTGCAAAATAATTATGCGCCTAAAGCAAGCTGTGCAGCATTGAACAGCCAACAGCAGTTGTCAGACCTTACTGTTGTACAAGAAAGCAACCTTGTAAGACCTTCCCAGGTTGCAAGCAGAATCAGTGATTTGCCTCAAGAATTAAACAACAGTAAGGATATATCTGATCATTTAAATGGAACACTTAAAAGCCCAAAGCAAAGTTACCAACCTACCAAATCATCAAGGGATGTATCCTTTTCAAATGAAGAGTCTGAGAATTGTTTGCAGCTTGGTTTTAGAACAGCAAGCAATAAAACTATTTCTCTTTCCCATGAGGCAATAGAGAAGGCAAAAGCCATTCTAGATGAGACGTACGAAAATGATATGAGTAACACCTCTCCTAAGAAAAAGAGTTTATGGCATTCACAGCACCAAACATTATACAAAGAAAATGTTTCTTCTATCTCAGACACTGCCAAGGATTTTGTAGGTCCTGCAGTTACTCATGTTACCACAGAAAGTGCAAAAATCTTGCAACAGGATAAGATTTCCAAGAACCCAGAGAGCACTACAGACACGATGAAACACGATTGGATGCAAGATGGTGCTCTTGACAGGGGGTGCAATACCTTTGCTATTAGCAGATCTTCAAAGTTAAGTTTTCCGGGCTTTAAAACTGCCTCTGAAAATCCTATACAAGTGTCCTCAGGAAACCTTGAGCGAGCCAGGTGTTTGTTTGAGGATGTGGATGAAAAGCTTCTGCAGAAATGTATCTCTAGTGGCTGTGTTGATGTAGAGGATGACAGAGAAACTGCAGTTGAAATTCTGCAGACAGGGCCCGCTGTAAAACCCTTCTGTACAGGATCACCTTCTGGACAGCTGTCTTGCCAGAAAATGCCAGACACTTACAGCTCTTTGACAGAAAGTCAAAGGGCAGATGTTATTGAACTGTGCAATATCCTAGAAGAAGCTGACACCCAATACGAATTCACACAGTTCAAACTTTATAAGGAAACTTCAGCTGGTACTGAGGATGTGCTATTTCGTGAGTCACATGATAAAGATACAGAACATGCCCCAGCACTTGTGTCAGATATGTTAACAGTCATCAGTTGTGATGGCAATGGAAACACTGACTCCAATAGAGAAATACAGAAACTGCAGCTGATGAAAAATGACACATCCGATAAGGCAGAGGAACAATGTAACGGAAACGAAGAAAAGGGGGGAAATGTATCCATTTCGATCTGTAATTCCATGGGAACTAGAGATAATGAATTAGTGGAAAAGAATTTAGCAAACATGGATATGATGATGACTCTTGATCAAGAATCCTCAGAATCAGCTCTGGCCACTGGTTGTACTTCCAGTTTGGCACGGTTTGAAGGCTTTTGCTCGGCTAGAGGGGTGAAAATCGAAATATCTAAAGAGAGTCTAAAAAAGGCATCACAGCTCCTTGATTTAGATGTTGGTTGTGTGCAATCACAGGACTCCTTAGGTTTAAAGTCTCCAATTCCCTTTTTGGATTTTCAGGGTAAAACTGCTATCAGAACGACACATTATAGTAGGCGTCCTAATGTGAACACATGCAACCAAACTGAAGCACAGTTTTATACTGAGAGAGCTAGTGGAGTCTCTCAGTCTAGTGGTAAGAATCTCAGCCATGACGATGGGACCAGGGAAAAGCTGTTTCAAGCAGGTAATGGTTCCTCATCAAATAGCAAAAGCTTTTCCAATCTTGAACAACAACTGTCTTGTGGAGAGTCTGAAGAACAATTGAGATTTGAAAAGCCTAAGGCTTTGGACCCTTTTCCCTTCAAGGGTAGTGGTCTGGAGACTAGGAAAAGCTCTGAAAGCCCCAGGAACAATCAGTCAGAAGGTGTTTTGCAGCCTTTGCAGTTTTCATTTCAGTTGGAGGATGATGTGGATAAAAAATTACAGACTCCCCAAGAGCAGATAGGAGATGGAAAGGATTCTTATCGGTCCACAAGTGGGAAGAGGGTTAGGTTCCAGGAACAATCTTTTGCCAAAGTGCCAGCTGTGTCTTCAAATGCTCATGGATTCAAAGCCAACCTGGGTTTCCAGACTGCCAGAGGAACTGCTGTAAGAATTTCCGAAAAGTTTTTGAAAAAAGCAAAGGACATGTTTTCTGATTTAGAGGAGAAGACGGAAAGTGGGGAAGAATGTCCTGAAACATCTAGGACTGGAACTAAGGAATATTTTGGAATTTCCGAAGCCAGTAAATCCAGTGGTAAATTCAGCATAACTAGAGGGAAAAGAGCTTCTGTTTATGAGGAAGGACTTGAGGGATTTAAAAGTATAATAGGAGACAATAAGGGGATATCAGTTCTGGAAAAGCATGCAAAAAGTGAAGGAGAAAGTTCAAGACCTGCAAACAAATGTGTTGGAACTGTGAACAACAATTCAAGGTTTAGCACAGCCAGTGGGAAGAATATTTTTGTATCTGAAAAAGCAATAAAGGAGGCTAAAGCAGTGTTTAAAGAATGTGATGAAATTGCAATGCTCGAATGTGCAACTGATAGGGAATCAGAAGTGAAAAATGTTTCAACTGGATTCCCTCTGGGAGAAGACGGGTGGATCTTTAGCACAGGTAGTGGTAAGGAGGTTTCTATGTCTAAAGATAGTCTTCAGGAAGGTGTGACTTCACATGAGTGTGATAAGACTGAGACTGTAGAACCTGTGGCAAAAGATTATAAGAATTTTCAAGGGAAAGGTACAGTTTATGGCATACAAATGTCTGTTTCTGAAAAGGCCCTTCATAAGGATAGGACTGTGCTAGAAGAATGTGATGGCAATCCAGATAGTGATGTCAGTGTAGAAACAGGAGAGACTGTGAAATTGGAAAACGGTGTTGTCCAGAAAAATGTTGGAAAATTCAGTTGTGGTTTCCGTACGGCCAGGGGCAACAAGGTTTCTGTGTCTGAAAAGGCTCTTCAAGAGGCTAGGAATTTGCTAAATGAGTTTAATGAAATTGAAAATACAAAGCGCGATGTAAAAGCTACAAGTTCTGCTGAGAATCTTCAAGTGAAAAGTAGCTGTGGCTTCAGTACAGCTAGTGGTACAAGGATTCCTGTGTCTGAAAAAGCTCTTCAGAAAGCTAAGACTGTGCTAAAAGAATACGACGACACTCCAGATAGTGATGTCAGTGCAGAAATAAAAGGAGAAACCGTAAAAATCAAAAACAGTGTTGCCCAGAAAAATATTGAAAAAGTCAGTTGTGGTTTCAGCACAGCCGGTGGAAAAAAGGTTTCTGTGTCTGAAAAGGCTCTTCAGGAGGCCAGGAATTTGCTAAATGAGTTTAATGAAATTGAAAATACAAACTCTGATGTAAAAGCTACAAGTTCTGC